CTTTTGTCCGAGCGAAAATTGTCAGAAACGGCAACCCCAATAGAAACTTTCGGGTGGGATCTCCCGCCTTGTTTTGGCTTTTACTTAAAAGAGGGGATCATATGGGATATCCCAACCTTTTGTGTTTTCTTTTAGGTGCTTTCTTGGCTTCCCTACATGTTCTCCTTGCTGAGGAAGCGGACGGCGGGCACCAGCGCCATGGGCAATGGAAGGCAGGGCTGGGAGATCGCCCAGCTCAAGTGCTGCTCGTCTCAGCGGTACCTGTCCCTGGGTGGTGTAAGCTTTCCCCTAAACCCTAAACTGACGAAAACGAGGTGAAAAAAAACTAAACGCTAAACATTCTAACCGAACCTGTGCTTCGATCCCTGTCTGAGTCTAGTTCTGGTCCTTGGTCAGTTCTTGTCCTGATGATTTTGGGCTTGATTGTGTGTTGCCTTGGCTCCTTGTGGTGCTTAGACGTTACGTGTCATGACGTCGCCGCAAGTAATTTTGCTAGTGGTGTTATTGTCGATACTGCTGGTTCGTTTCCTCGGCTCCTGTCGGAGACGAGTTCCATCTTGGCTCGTCGAAAAAAAACTGTGAGCTCTGCCCTGAGACAGCAAACTGCTCGCCGAGGTGGCGACATGTTCACCGCCGCCGTATCCTGGCAGGGCGCGTCCTCGGTTGGAAGTTGAGAGGGGCTTCGGATTGGTTGCAGGCGTGGCATGCGTGGAGGGCTTGCCGGAACCCTTCACCACAATCATCCTCTATCAGTCTTGGGCTTGCTCCTACTCATGGATGTTTGCTGTTAAAGCTGAGCACACTGACCGAACCTTTGTTTCTAATGCCATTAGAGCCACTAAAGTTTCACTAAAGCCGAACTTCCCACATCCTGGCATTCAGGCTGTATACCTGGGGCTCTGGGGCCCGCGGTCAGCTGGGCACTGGCAGTCTTCAGGAGCGACATCGGGCATTCTTTGTGACCTCATGCGAAGCGGAAGCATGTCCAGAACGAGGACCCATCCCAGTACAGGCACGTCCAAGACCACAAGCACCAGCCACGTCTTTCAAATCGAAACTGTAGGCCGGGTTCGAGGATTCGTCCAGGAAGCTGCGCCCAAGCTCTGACTACTTGTCGAGAACTCCAAACCCAAAGCCTCCAGGGGCAAAGCCTCGAGACATCTTCCGAAGCTCCGCGCAAACTCTGCAGGACAGCTGGGTGCCGAAGGCCGGTCGCCTTGCATCGCACTATGCCGCACTGCACCAAAGAACCGCATAAAAACCCAGAATTCAGGGCCCCCCCCCTCCCCTTTTTCTTCGTGCTTTTTGAAGCCAAGCTGAGCTCGGGAGGCGGTCCGCTTTCCATCGGGTCGCCTGGTCCGATCCATCGCCTGTGGCCGAGAGCATTGCGCCCCTTGGCTCCTGGGGGAACCCGGGGGACCTTACTTTTCGGGGGGCCTCTCTCGTCGAACCTCGAAATGGGACCCAAGGTTGCCGTCACCTACGACGGGAATGCCTACGCCTGGGGAAAGGGGGACAAGGCCTGGCTCCCACTTGGCTCCTATGGAGTTGGGGCTCGGAGCGGCGTTGTTGTTTTGATCCAAAGCAGGAATCTGTAGACTCTAGACCAACATGCTGCAGGGACAGCTCGGTGTCGGACGCAACGAGGACACGGCGGTACCAAGATGCCCGGCTGCATTCGGGATTCTGATCTCGAGCTCTCAGTTCGAAACTATCTCCAGGTACTCCCTCGAAATGATTGAAATGGGCAGCAAAACCCAAGCTCCCGAGTTGATGCGCTTCTAAGGACTGGTCCAGGGCGTCGCTGACGTCCTCGTTTGTGCGGCGGGAGAGGCCTGTCTTCTGAGATGCTCGGATCCTCTGTTCAGGGCCGCTTCGGCCACTATGACTCTGTGAGACCAGGGCTAAGTGACGGTCGGGAACATCGTAGTGTGTAGTGAGTGTTGTGTGCCAGATGCTCCGTGCCCCGTGGGTTTTCCGCCGACAGGACCACACGGGAGCCATCTGCCGCGGCGAGGACGACAACGAGCTGCGACCGAGCTGCAAACCCCTCGAATCTTCAGACTTGTATCCCTAAACCCTAAACTTCTAAACCCTAAGCGCAGGGAGCTTCCATGGTTTACCGATGAAAGCCGCAGAGATCATCGCCGGACGCGCGCTCGGAGGTGCATTGCTCCCTTCGGAGCCTCCACTTCAAAGTCTAAGTTCCTCGATCCTTCCGCCTTGAGCCTCCAGCCTGAAACCCTTGAAGTCCCGACCCTGAAACCCCGCCCCAAACCCCTTAAACCTTAAACCCTAAACCCTATAAATCTCTTGTGGCTTTGAGGTACATGTGGGGCTCCTCTGAGATGGGCAAGCTGGGCGTTGGGGCCGCCGGCCTCTCCTCCACCGACTCGCCCCCGGTGGTCGTCAAGGCGACGCGCTCGGAGTCTTTTGGCACAGGGGTTTTCAAGATCAAAACAGCATAAGAACGATTTAGGGGCTATGATGGTCTCTTCTAGATTCTGGCAGATGTAACAATAGAACAGAAGGACGATGAATACCAATACTGAGCAATAATCTCGGTTTTTAGTTCCTAAATGTAGCTCGCAGGGAAGCTTTATATGTACTGTATGCGGAGGTGTTCGTATTCATTACTCAGACTCAGCTTTCGTTTGCTTTTGCTCGGCCCCGTTGGAGGATTCGCTAAAGCACGGTCCACCGAGCCGTCAACTGTCTGCGAGATGCCAGCCCTGTATCGACCTTTGGTATCCGAACCTTCGCCGCTTTCAGTGCATTCTGCAGGCTACGTAGCGATTTTTGACTTACCTGCAAGCCTTGACAATCGGTAGATGCCCTCGGGTTCCGGAGCCTCCACTGAATTCAGTCTCCGGCAGGCATTTGCGAAGGCAGACAACCCCTATCGCGCGCCTGGGACGACGTCTTATCCTATGCTGTAGGCTGTTTATGGATGCCGAGGATGGCTTTTCGGTGAGATTCGAAAGCTGTGTAACTCCACGGCCCAAGACATGGGCCCCTTTGCCAGGTTCCGGTGGCCCTCAGCTGCGGTCAGTACCACACTGCTGTCGTCTGTGCGCTTCGCGGCGACTCTGAGGACGACTCAGAGGGTTTTGTCGGATTCTCGGGTTTCCGCACAGTGTCGGGAATATTCTGGTAGAACTATAACAGGACCTCTTGGGCTCCGGCTGGTCATCGGTGGGGTGGAGGGCCGACGCGTGGCCGGGGCTACCCGGGGCGTGGTTGAGTCCGCGGAATAGTTAGCAAAGTGTATCCCAAAACACACTTCTCTGTATGTTTGACCCCTTTGACGAAGCCCTGCGAGGAAGACAGAATCGCAGGACGTGCCTTGGCCTTGGCCGAAGATGGACTAACCTCAATCCGTTCCCCAGGAACTGGAGCGGCATGTGTCGTGACATGTTGTGACTTTTATCCAGTGTAGGCCTTGCCTTTGCATTCTTGGGCTACCATCGTGGGCTTCCAGCCCTTGAAGCTCCCCTTCAAGCCTGTAGCCGGCTTTCATGTTCGGTGCCAGTTCCAAGATCGCCTAAGGCTTGTGAAGCGAGTTGCATCTGACCCCGCTGACAGGTGTTTGGACCTTCGGGGGCGGCTGGTATGGCCGGCTCGGGCACAACAACATGGACCCTGGGGTTGGGCTCCAGCTTTTCTTTGTCGTGGGTGTTTGGGTCTGTTCATTGCTGCACGAAGGCCTCGCAGATCTTACACAGCTCGGCTGAATCTCGAGGAGAACCAGTTTGAGCCCAAGCTCGTGCAGAGTCTGCTGGCCCGCGTGCGCTCGGTACATTGTGGCGCCTACCATACTTGTACCTGGGCTGAACACAGATGTCTCGTAATGCAGCTCATTCTTGGTCATTTCTTCAAACGCCACCGCCAAGTTCCAGCACAAGGCCCCAACCATAGATGGCTGGACGCAGCTACCCATGAGCACGAGTCCTTCAGCCAGCACTGTGAAAATCCTGCAAGCGTAGTCAAGATGCTTCAAAGTCTGTCCCCTCCTTCCTCCTCCTATCTCCTTCCTTTCTTTTTCCTTCCCTCTACATCTCTCGGCCTTCAGCACTAAGTGATGGAACCCTAAACCCTAAACCCTACCCCCTAAACCCTGAAACGTATGGAACTCTTTTCCTTCCGACTGTCGGATCCTTGGGTGCAGGCGCCCTCAGTTACGAGAAGGGAGTCATCAACGACAACGGGGAGCCCGCTGGCGATCTCTGGGTCCGGGAGCTTGGGGCTTTTTTTCCCTGTTTAGGGTTTAGGGTTGAGACATCAGCCCTGAGATGCGAGCCCCAAGAACGAAGCCCCGAAGCCTCAAGCCCCTACTGCCGGAGGTCTGGGGCCGGGGGCGCTGCATTGGAGAGCACGAGCACGCGAAGGCACCAAAGAGAATTTGAGGGCCGGCTGGAAGCATTCCTGGGTGGCGGCTTCCTGTGCTTTGACAGTCTGCCATGATGTAACAGTAGCCCAAGTTCAGCATGCCTCCAGTGATCGCCAACTCTTGGGGTAACTTGTGCTGATCCGCACTTGCCGGTACAGGTGCCAATCAAGTTCATGCAGATCGACGGTCAGCCAAAGGTGACACTTGTGGTGGCTGCCTCATCTTTGCACTGACATCATTCGGATTAGAAGCAGGGGTTTGGCATGCTGTTCCAGTGCTGAATCGACTGCTGGCTAAGTAACAAGGCCCCCGAGGACCCGCGGTCCCGCAAGAATGGAACACATCTAGGTTCCAGGATTGCAAGCTTCTTACCCCAGAAGTCATCGGCACTGGCATGCGCAGGACCGCGACGAAAGCACACGCCTGTTTCCGGTGCCAGATACTGAACTGCAAAGCACGATGTTACCGAATGCAGCTTCCCTGAGGCAACCTCAGACTTGACCAACATGATCGTGACATCAGCAGGACGCCTTGGGTGGTGTGGGGACAGAGGGGCCTATCTTCAAAATGTATCACAGGGGGCGCCGGAGCTCAGAGGATTATGGTTCTGAGTATCCGGCATTTATGAACATGCCATGCTTTACCAGCAAGCCACTCTAGACTCGGTTTTCGGTTGGTTGGTATTGCCTCTTCACTTGCCTCATCTTGTCGCACGGTGGCGAACTTGTCGATAGTATAATGGGCTGCAAAACCCCTACTCCCCCCTAGACTAGACTCTTAGACTTTTCTATCACTCTTGGACACGAGAGCTTTTGGAGGCCTGGTCTATGCTTGGGGTGACAACCGCAGTGGCCAAATTGGTCTCGATGGTGGCCGGAAGGAGCTTTCAGAGTTTGGGAGGCCGCTTTTCGCAGTTCAAAGGGAGAGCTGCTTGGGTTCTGCAGGGCCAGTTGCGGTACTTCATATTTCATCAGGCGATCTTCCAAATCTTGACAGATTTGGCGCAGCTGTGCATCGGCGGTGTCTTGCTTCGGAGTCGATCTTTTTTGATGACGCGGTCGCGCCGCTAGCTTCTGCGTTCTCCTTCTGTGACGCAGGGTTTGAATTTGCATAAGCAGTTTGTCAATCATTCAGGAGTTCCGCCCTTGGACTTGGAACTACTAGTAGCATGTCGAGACGCTGAGGGTTTCACTTACCGCTGCAAGTCGATTGCCAGGAGTCGCCGCAGCCTGAAATCATACGCAGCTTGGCATTCTCCACAGCCGCTTCTCAAGTTGCAAGCCGCATTGAGAACAAGCTTGTCACCTGACTGACTGTCTGTTTCTACTTCCGGTGACGACGAGCGAGAGAACACGCGCCGTCTTCCGTCACTGCTCCTGTCTTGCGGTTCGGGCTACTACACATTGAAGGGTTCTCCAAATCTGGGTCCGTGTCAATGTCCGTAAGAGTGATGATTCAGTATCAAACAGGGATCCTGAACTAGAGAGGCTTCCGGACCCGTTGCGGTGGTTCGCCAGACCATGCGCCTGTGTGTTTATCTAGAAGCCGTATAGGGCCCTTATGCAGGCTGCTAGAACTTTCGTATACCCATAAGAGTGCCTTATAGAGCTTGTATAGAAATAACCCTTATGGAACCTAAGAGAGCCGTTGTGTAGCCATATTCATGTAACCTTTCTAGAACATGGAACCTTACAGAGCACTTGCAGATTTTTGGGTTTCTACCAGATTTCACGTCTTTTTTTCGCTGAGGAAACTTGCCTCAACCTCCGATCCTGATGTCCGCCGGCCCCGCGCACATGGTGACGTATGGCCGGAACAAGGCCCTCCCGGATTTTGGCAGCGGCACCCAGTGCTTGAAAGCATCGTAAGACGGGGAATGTTCAAGACGCGATCTTGCCGCGTTTTGCGTATTGACAGAAGCATATGATCTTGCAGAGAGTGTATGCAGATAAACAGTTGCACGCCTCGCGAAACAGATCCTGAGCAAGATGGCGCAAGAGGCGGAAGGTTTTTCAGGTTCGAGGTTTTAGGCATGCTTGATTTCAGGAAAGAAAGAGGCTGCGGTTTTGGTTCGCCTTGGTGTGGCTCAGCATTTCGGAGCCTCTAACACAGCAGCAGGTGATGATGGCCTGGGGCAATCAGAGCTGCGGGCGGTTGGGCCTTCAGGAGAAGAAGATGGAGAAGGCACCTTGAGTCTTCACTCACAACGAATCACCCACGGGTTGGTGTTCCAGGTGTCTGAGGTGCTCAGGGCAGTCTGACGCCTCATGGCCCGTTCCAGCGACCCAGATCTTGCAGATCTGCAACCCATTTCAACCTCAGCTGTGAGCCGTGCTTTTCAAGACCTCCCGACGAGCAAAGTCTTAGCTCCCTAAGCTTTTTTTGAAGCACAGTTGCAGCTGCGACATCAGTCTGTCTCGTCCTGTTGCGGGAGTGCGTAAGCAGGGCTGCAAAGATGCAGCACCGAGCTCCCAGAGTTTCGATGAATTCCAGCGCCATAAGCCGGAGAGCCCCCCAGATCTTGAATCTTCCCACGCTTTTGCCTCAGATTTTGATGGACACGATGGCGATAGTCTTTGCGCCGTCGAAAGAAGTCCCATCTGGCATGATGATGATGATGATGATGAAGTTGGATGGGTTGTAGTTGTTCTCATGGAGAAATTGCAGGTAACCAGCATCTGCTCCTTTCCCCATGCCTTCATTTCTATGCAAGTCAATAGAAATAGCCGACTACTTACATGTAATTGTATAGGTTTCTTACCGGCGTTTTGAGCATATTGTCATTTGCAGCTAGGAGGCCGAGCTACCTATCCATTCATTTCCCTGTGTTGTCTTTGTCAGTTTCGGGCCCTGAGAATTTAATGAACATGGAGGTGGAAAATGATTCATCTTCTTTAGAAGAGAGTCTCCACAATAATTGCATGAGATCAGAGTTTGCGGACGTGAGTTGCATGAGAACGGCAGACAGTTCCTGCCGACGCGCAAGACACGAGGGAATCAATTTCAGTATGTAAAGAGAACAAGATAAACCTTTATACAATCTGGGTCCACAGCTCTTGGGAAGCTTGTCATAGACCCTACAATCTTTTTTTTGAAAACTGTGCAAACCTACATGAAGCAATGCTAAAGCCTCAAACATCCGCCCACACAGCGCACCGAGCAGGTGATCTTCAAGCCACGGGTCGTCCGGGCCGAGTGGGCCTCGATCGAAGCCATGGGAGGGACGGAGGCGGAGGAAGAAGGAGGCCTCCTTCCATGGCTTGCAATCCTATCCCTGGGAGTGAAAGGAGTCGGCGAAGTCTGTCCAGTTCTCCATCCCGAAGAACTATTGCAGTCTGCTTCTGCTTCGTTCAGCTTTGCAGCCTTGCAGTCTGCTGCTGCTTTGTTGCGCCGGAGCAGGAGACAAGAAGAAGGTCACGGCAGCGGCTTTGGCGACGTTGGGTGACGAGTCGATCTCCAAGGAGCCGCCGTATCTTGTAGACGCCGGAAAGCAGCGGCCCCGCAGTGGCTTGAAGGAAGAACCCGAGGAAGCCTCTACTTCGAAAGGGCTCAGTCGATCGTTCTCTGGCCCCAACTCATCAAGTAACAGCCCGGAGCACTACACCCTGGATGATGCATTAGAAGGGGCTTGAGACAGGCCTTGGACAGCGAGAGCGCCATCAGCGAGGGCTCCTCTCACGGGGAGTTTGGCGAGGTAGGGGTTGGGGGTTTGGATCAGGGTCACGTGCAGCTCCACATTCCAGGCAGCCCAAGAAGGATCGGTGTGGCTTTCGCGATTGCGCACAGGAAGATGCTGGAGACACCAAGGCCAACCTGCTCCATGCCTTCACATCAGGACTGCGCCAGCCTTGGCGTGTCGCGGAACTCTGTAGAAGCCGCGGTCTCTCTCTTGTTCCTGAAGCTCCGGCTCCATACACCTTGCCGTGTGGCCAGTGAAACCCAGAAGCATGACTTGACGGCAATCTTCCTGCACCACACCGCAAAGAAACCCGGACGGGGCTTCATGGAAAGGAGTGAGATGTCCCGGGCCATGGGCACACTAACCGCAGGACAGAAAGTCCAGCGCTTCTCGACGATGCAGACGCCGGCCCGCAGATCTCTTCGCTGAGCTTGTCATTTTCTGAAGAGGCTGCATGCAGCCTGCTTTACGGCGGGGGGATTTACCTTGCATGCTTGTTGCTTTAGACGTGTTTCTGCTGAGGGCTAGGATCTAGAAGCCTTTAACAGCACACTCTGGTTCATCACCACCCCCGGAGTTCAGAAGCCAATGCAGCTCAGGACCATGTTGAAGGAGGAGCCGGATAGCAACAAGACCGGTGGCCAGGGCTGCATTTAGAGCACGGATGCATTGTCCCCCGTAGCAGCTGAATAGTGCTGAGGGATCTGGGGGCCTAGGGTCAAGAACCCTGAATGTAGGCTTCGTGGAGGTTGGGTGACCCAGGCATGTAGCCATGCTCGCTGGAGCAACGATTCCCTGCTGGTCTCTACTTGCCAATGTCCAACCTTGGACATGTTCTACAGGTACAGGCAGTAGAGGGGACAGCAACTGCTCAGACGGGCCTGAGGGAACCAGACTGGAAACAGCACGCTGGGAAGCAAACTGTGTCATCGTGTGTCAATGATGGGACTCCTTACGATCCGCTTGCAGGCCTCAACAAAGTAGTATAACACCAAAGAAGACAAGCTGCAGAGCCACGTTTCTCACATCGCCCTGCTACTCGACCAGAGCATGTGCAGCAAGTGTCGGGGGTCTTGTCCTTCTGTCCAGGCAGTCTGCACAAGCACACGAAGGCAGTGGGTGTGATGCTTGCTCTTTACGCGTTCATGCGTACTTGCGGAGCTAGTGCGATGCCTCCAAAGCCGCTGTTTTCAGCCTGCTGGCCGAAGGTTTGTCTCTGGGTTGAACCCACCTGCGATCAAGATGTCCTTTGAAGGAGGTGTGAGGAGTAAGACTCTGGAAACGGTAGATCTTTGTGTGCAGGAACTGAAAAAGATGGTCGTCAGCGCCGTTGAAGACCTTGTCACGGTGACTGAGAAAGAGAGACGGGTGGCCATGTTCCAGGCCGGCGTCGTTTTGATGCAGAGCTAGTGTTCATGGTCACTTCCAGGAGGCTGAGACGAGACCCCAAACATGTTTGGTAGGGCCGTCCGTGGGCTTCGCACGGGGGGGACTTTTTGTTAAGTCTGTGCTCCGCCTTTCCGAGTTGCTTCTGGATTACGGCTTCTCGCCAGTATTGGAGCCTCTGGGGGGCCCAAAGCCAGGAGCGCGTCCAGAAGGGCATCGATCACCTCAACGGAGTGCTGCAGGGACCTGTGCAGCACGAGCGGGAGCGAGACGGACGCTGGATTACACATGCTTAAGGGTTGGTGATGAGGAAGGAGTCATGAGTCATACTGCAAATACTGCAGGGCTTGCAGGATTTGCAGGGAGCACACGTATTAGCAGACGCTTTTGCTGCATGTCCTTGCTCGTTTCGTTTCCGTCCCTCGCCGTTGTTTTGGGGAGAGGGGCTCCGCTTCCGGCCGTAGGCACGTTGTGCTGCATAGCATGCTTCGCCATCGTTCGGCGAGCCTGGCCTCAAAGGACTGGATGCAGCGCTGATGCAGAAGCTTCCTGCGTACCAGGAGACGCTTTGCCCCGCTCCCACTCTTGGCTCTAGAGGCTAACGGTGGCGATCATTTCAAGGGGCTGGTGTGTTCCGCGCTTCATCCGAAGAGCCTCTCCGACCTCCCCTAAACCCTAAAACCTAAACCCTAAACCCTAAACCCAATAACGCCCGTGAGCCCCGCAGCCCTCTAAGAAGAGGAGCTCTTCTCGGTGCTCCAGCTGCAGGCCTGCTGTGTGCAGAGGGCTCGTTTCTCCTAACCCTTAGACTGCCACTTTCGAAGGCCTTCTTCGGAGCGGGACGTGAGACGTTTTGCGGGGGACGGTACGGAGATGTCTCTGTGTTTGCGTGTCATTGGTGAAGCATTGGGCATTGGAGGCATAAAAGCTGATAACTCTCCGATTTTCCGGGATGGCACAGGCACGTAGGCGGATCCGCTCGAAAGCTGGTCGAAGCCAGCAAATAGAAGAGACCCCATCCGGCTTGAATGAAAGTTTTTCTTGGTTTCTTGGAAGCTGGCATTACTCTGCCTCACACGAAGTGAAAAGGCCTTTCGCTGTCGCTCTCTGTTGCCGAGACAGCGCAGAGGAGTCGGGGGCTGCAAGGACCCCAGCAGGGCTAGTTCGGTGACAGGTGAGCTACCTGGCGACCTTGTCCATGACAATCAAGGACGAAGAAGCCTCAGAGGCCCGTGCCCAAATGCTGGAGCCTTGAGAGCCTCCTCCGCAGTCTCCCCAAAGCCAGGTCTTCGTGAAGGTGGTCTGCGCCATCTTCGCCGATCTTCACGACGCGCGGATTCGGAACCTGCCGCCTGGCTCCAATCGGTTCATTCAGAATTCAGGCTAAAAGCGCGAATGTCCAAGACCCTACGGTCAGTCCCATGAGGCCTTCTGCGCCTAAGCGGCGGAGGTCTGAGCCCAAAGAAAGGTCCGTCAGCCTCGTTGGTTTCGGGGAGAAGCTTTCGGGCTTAGCGGTTTAGGGAAGGACTCCCGTTTTCCGTCATGTTGAATTGAAGTAGCAGCCTGCAGAAGAGGTTCGTGCTGCTGATGCAGATGATGGTTTTCAAGGAGCTTGAACAGGCACTGCGGGTTTTGAAGGGTTGCAGTGACCCGTGTAGACAGAAGGGAACAGCCAACTATCGGTATACTACATACAGCTGACACAGGATTTGAATCATGATAAGACTTCGCTGGTTCATGTGTTTTCCAAAAGCCGCCATCTTATGTCCACGTCCACGGGCCCATGATTAAACCCTTGATGTCAGCCCCGACGCTGTGCTGTCTTGCCGGGAAGCAACTTCAAGAAGCTTGTTGCTTCCGGGGATGGATTCTTTCCGTTTACTGTCTCTGCAATCGGTCATCGAGGGGCACTTTCCCCCCATCTTCTCCCGGAGCCAAACAGCCGCTGTGGCGCAGTCGAAGCACATCGACGACGTCTTCCTGCCTGCAAGCCGCTTCCTTGCAAGTGCGGGTTGCGGCTTTGGGGTTCCAAAGGCCACCGGTAGCCTTGGGTTCGAAGGGGGGTAGCAGCTTAGGGATGAAAAGCGCGCAAGTAAGTAGCTAGTCTCGACCAAGGTTAGGGAGTCGCAGGACTCCTGCCCTGAAGTACTTTTCCCATTTCTTGCAACGTGCTCTTCGGCCTCCTTCTGACTGAAGGGGCCATTGCATTGAGCAGCAGCCACTTCCGCAAGGGGTTCCACAGCTTTCACTATTCTCGGACTGTGTTTCTGTGAGCCACCCGGCGGCCTATGAATACGCAAGAGACTTTAGACTTTACAATCCAGCCTCTTTAACCCCCAAACCTTGTAGTGGTAGTGGGCGGGTAGTGCACCATGTGAGTTTCATGGGTTTGCGTGCATTTTGAGGACATTTCGGATGACTCCATGCAATTGGGGTTGGTTGGGGGGGGGGGATAATGACGTCAGTTCCAAGGGCGACCCATGCGAAACAATGGTATTCACAGTGTGTTCTCCATTGTGTACGACCTTTCTTGCAGACGAACAACGTGCACGACCTTTCAGCGTTCATGCCTTCTGCGAGCATGCCCAAACCACTGGTGTTTGCATCGTTCGCACCTTCTACAGCAGAGGAATACTCGGCATTTCTGGCATACGACAAGCATGCAGAAAGAGCTGAGTGAACTCCTGTCCAACTTACATGGGTTTCCGGTGCTTTTTCCGGAAAAAGAACCTGCTAAAACCTAGGTTTCCTACGGACACTTGCCAGGCCGGACCTTCAAGCTCTTCTCCTTCTTCGCTTTGCATGAGGCCCAAGTCTCCCCCAAGTGCTTTGCAGTCGGAACTCGGGTGAAGCGAGAAGCTGGAGGGGCTCGAGAAAGTTGCGACATCTTTGCAGACCGCCTGAGGATTTTGGGGCAGATCCAATGCCAATCATGCCAATCTGAACTCTCGAATCCAAAGCTCGAAGCGGCTCCAAATGCCCCCCCCCCCCACTGCGCAAGCCAAGAAGCCAGGTGCACTTCGATTCGGTCGTCCAGCCGTTGATGGACTCCCTCATGCGGGTTGGGTCTTTGATGTGTTTCTGCTCGGCAGCCGCAGGATTTCAAAAAGACACTCACGACCGGAGGCGCTCTAGACTCTAGAGCTGTTGCTCTAGTCAGCTCACACTTTTATAGTCTCGTCTCGAAGCTTTAGTTTCAAGCTTCCCGGAAGGACTGCCACCGAATGGACGAACAGAACCAGCCTCTGACCTTCATGGGACTGGTCACGTACAAGACGCCCCTTGGCCCGAGCCGACCTCTGCGTCCGAAGAGTAGTCTAAGCAGCAACAACAGCAAACTTTCGAAGGAGTGGCAGTGGATAGCAGCTGTGGTAGCTTTCGCCGTGCAGCCGTGCGGGTGTACATTGTTTCGATGATTGGCAACTTGACAGGCTGGAGCGCGGCCAGACTTGGTCCTTGGACTTCAATGACTACTTGCGCCGTGACTGCATCACCCAATATTTTGAAGATTTGACAGTTTGGCGAAGAACCTTCAACTTCGCTTGTGTAGCATTATCCATGTAGAGTCCCAAGGGTTAATCTTTGGTTACTGTAGGGAGTTTATGAGGGAGCGATCGAGACAGGTCAGAATCACCCGCCCGGATCCAAAACTGCCGCCGTGAACCATGCAAAAAGTCGAACTTGTTGGGGACCTGAAACCCACCCTTGGCCCTAAACCCTAAACTGTACAGCCTCGCCTTCAATGTCGGATGCATTCTGGAGGAAATCACCGAGCATCGCAGCCAAGTTGAAGGCACTCCGACGGAACGGAAAGAGTGCTCTTCAGATTCCGAGTGCAACTTAGAGCTTAGGGCTCCGGTGTTGGTATTGTCGATGACATGAATCCTGCATTACGTTAAGGACCCTATACCGCGGGAATTATGGTATATTCCCTATTATGGGTAGTGCACGAGCCAGGGATCCCGAATTCGAAGACACTCAACGTCCATGTGCTTCTTTTTGCCCGATACCTTGTGTGAAGGGTGAGCAAGCTGTAGGACCTCAGCGCTGCCGAGCTTCTGATAGGTTCAGTGCTGCAATGTTGGTTTTCGTATTAGCTCCGGCAAGTGTCAGAAGATTGGCGCTGAGAATTGAACATCCTCGTCCCCTCATCTCTGCAGTGGACCCTCAAAAGGAGCAGGCCGCGCAAGAACTGAGGGCCGATTTCACCAAGGAGCTGTGTGGAACGCGTCCCTTAAGGATTCGGTTGGACCTTCGGGGGATTTCTGAGCCTGTTTTTGCCTTGGTCAGGTTTCTGCAGAGGTTTTCCCACTGACCCCCTTCACTCACTTCTTCTTGACCGTGGGCTGCTAGAATTCTTGCAGGAGCTCGAAGCCTTCTATGACTTCTTCAAGGTCGATGTGGCTTGTACGAACGTTCAGCAAATTGCCTCTCGCTCCAAGGGCGAGCTTTTGACGAGTAGGGTGGCGGCATCTGCTGCGCTCCATTCAAGTCTAGGCCGCGAGAAGATAGTCCCGTTCCAAAATCTTGCGTGCAAAGCAGCCACAAAGCAAACATCTGTGAATGCGATACCCTTCCTTAGGCGTCATCGAAAGGTCTGCTTCGCATCCGCCGAGGTCGTGTCTGCCATCTCGCGGTTGCACCTGCCTGCCAGCTTCTGGTCCTTCCTTGCCTTCTGCCGCGAGACCATCAAGGACAGGCCCTGCTCGGCGGCTTTCTGCCAGGGCGTAGATCTCGAAAGCAACGGCACAGACTTGTTCAGGTCGCCGGAGCGGGTGTGCGGGGCGTTCAGATGGTGGGGTCGGATCTGTGCTGGCAGAGAGAAGACTGCAATCCCCAGGAGTTTCAGCTGGTGGGCACTGAGGCAGTCCGGGCAGACTTGAGGGTTTTTTTCTTTTCGATTTTTCGGCCTACATGGCACAGCGCTGAGATTGCATCACGGGTAGGGGAAACTCCAGGCGCCAAGCCAAGCTGAGCTCCGAAGTTCAGAGCAGCTTGCTTCACCGTCCAAGCAAGGAAAACCCGACTTTCTTCCCGATAACTTCATCCACACTTCCCCGGCCCGGCCAGGAAGATGAAGCAGGCACCGAGGTGGGCGGAGATCCGAGAGTCTCTCTTTGTTCTACGACTTCGGGGCATCTCTGTGGCGAGCCTGGGCTGATGTGGCCTGCAGGTGGAGCTGCAGATGTGTGAGCCGCTCTTCCGCCTCCTCATCAGTGGCATCGTCGGGGAACCCGGGCTGTTACTCGATGTCCACGGACATTGCTCGGACTGAGCATCGGATCCTCAGAGCCCTAGGAGATTCAGGAATTTAGACAAGCCTTCTCTCAAGCAGAGCAAAGGGGTGCTGACACGTCTGCCATGCGCCGCCAGATCCTGCCGGTGCTGAGCCACCCGAAGAAGTACGGCGGACGAGAGGCGGCTTGGGCACATTCGTTTCAGCAGAGTAGCATGTTGGCATTAAGCCTCAACTCCCCAACTCAAGACTGTAAACCAGGCGCAAGTTCTTGGCGACTAAATCACGACGATGGGCTTCAGGTGGCGAGAATCTCGCCTCTCCCAAATGGGAGCTTCCGTGAGAGGGGAGACGAGTAAGCTGAGAGGTGGGCCTTTGGCGGTGTGAGAAGGGCAACTTTGACGGCGACGTCCTGTTCAACCTCCGCGCCTTGGCTCCAGCTACGTTTTGGTTTTGGCATTCACTCTAGTGGAAGATTTCTGCCGTAAGCCATTTTCAACCGTTGGCGGAGCTGATGTTGGTATCCTGCAGGTGCTGTGGTGGCAGCATTCGAGGAGCGGATTTTCAGTGCAGGCTGTGCCTCAATGCAGGGAGTGTGCAATGAGTCGAAGCCCAACTCCAAGCCCAAGTGCACTTGCCTTCAGCGCAGCACGCCGTGGCGACAGGGAGTGGAACTTTTGGTTTTCATTTCGATTTCGACAGGTTTTCACGTCACAGCTCTGTGAGGCCAACGCTTCGGGTGAATGACGTCACTCTTAGATGATATGTGTGTGAAGGACATGGTCCTGATCGTCCCCAGTGGAAAGAAGGCGCTGAACAAGATCGGATCTCGACTCAGGCAGGCTGGCGCAATGCAGAAATAAGCGTGCTTTCGCCCTGTTTTAGCTCCGGGTGCGGATCCCCCCAATAGCACCTTCCTCTCGGAGTTTTCAGCCCGTAGCCCAGCCGTCAGCTTTGAAAGCTGGAAACGGTTGAGGAGCATGGCCCCATGGGGGGCGGACAGAGCAGGATCGAAGGTTTGCGAGTATTCAGCGGAGGTAACAAGGAGTCCCTTCCCAAATCCAGCGATGCAGGAGCCTTTTTGGGCTACCGATCGTTGTCTCCTTCTCCTAATGTTCGTGGTTGTAGAAAGGGTTTCAGGAAGGAAGAGCAAAGCTACAGGGCCATGGGCACGGACGCATACGAGCTTTTCGCACAAAACAGCTGTCTCAGACGTGCAAGTACGCCTCTGTGCACAGTACAAGGCGTCATAGGTACTGCTGGCTTCTGCCGATCATGTCATGAATGTGGCTTTGCCGATCATGACTTCTTGCTGGCTTCTGCCGATCATGGCTCCTTGAGCCATCCGCTTCGGCCAAAGCTGACTTGAAAGGAACCCAGCACTCGACCGGCTCCACCAGTCCCTCTGTACATGAAGGGGGTCCTGGGAATCAACAAAGCCTGACTGCCCCGAAAACTTGCAACGCCGCTTCCCCCCATGTGGTGCCTTGCTGGAACCGTTCAGGCCCGAGGTCCTGCGATTCATCCTCGAGCGGCTGGTGACGGGAGGAGATGAGCCCGACACCATTGTCACGGTGCCTTTGGGATTCGCGGGCGGGTTCACTTTGAGGACCTCCTGAAATAAAGCCCTGAAGCCTAGTTCCGCTCTACATGGAATCGAAAACCAACGAGGATGCTCGGCCCCAGGTGCAGACCTTCCTGTCGCACTATGATCGCGTGCCAACGAGAGCTTCGGCTGCATCGGAGATGTTCTTCGTAGTGGGAAACCCACCAAGCATTGCTCTACCGTCGTCACCCAATGGGCCTTCGAGTTTCCACACACCAAGCTCAACATCGCTGCAACATGGGTCACCAGTGCTGTCATGCTCCGCCTCTCGTGATTTTTTTGACCCGTGCCAAGCTCTGGAGCAAGACGCAGCCTTGGGTGTTTTCGGCACAACTTGTCGTGTTTCTGAGAAATGAGTCCTTCAGTGAACTCCCCCAGCTTGAGGCATCTATGTCTCCACATCTCAGCTCGTCCTGTTCCAGAACATGATCTTGAACAATGTGAACAAGATCAGGCCGCCGCCCCGTGAAAGCAGTGCTATTGGGACATCTTCGATGTTGAAGCAGAGTCCTTGCAAGTAATATACCCTAACCCCTCAAGCCGTCCTCGCGGGAGGGGATTTCGGCTACTAACTGCAGTTTGAAAAGGAGTCTGCCAAAGAAAGAAGCCGTCGCGCACAACTCCCAGCTCGCGCTGGCAGGCTCACTTCCGGCGACCCTCTGGACGAGGCGACACACGACGGACTAATGCCGCCCCTTTGCGAGGTTGTCAAAGGATTCTAAAGGTGGAGAGTCTTCGTTTCAGGGATCCCTAATCCTACCTTCATCAAGTCCTTTGAAGCCCAAGCCTACTTGCGAGAAGAGAGGACAGCAAGCCTTGGACTCGACCTCCTTGAAACCGTCAGCAACTGCAATTCCGGAGCCCTGACCCCCAAACCCCAAAGCTCGCAATCGGTGCACCTTACACGTCAGGCAGCGAAGAAGGTTGGCCCATGGTCCGAGGCACATGGTTTAGACTGTTCCCGGGTCTATGCGAGAGATGGCGGGAGTTTCAGGTGTGTGGGCTGTGCAAGTGGGAGGGGCGGAGAGCAAGACCTAGTTTGATTCCCCCAAGTCGCGAAGCAGCTACCATGCCCAGAGAAAGAAGGAAAGAATGTGTCATATTATATTCAATACAGAGCCGTACCTATACTTGGATGCAGGTCGGATGAACCCTGGGCCCGAAAATCCCCTGCTCGCTGAGATGGCCGAATCCCTTCGCATAGAGTTGTGTCGGGGCCCCGCCCTCCCTCTACTTCGCAATGGCTCCGAAAGTGATGTAACGTTCACCGCAGAGCCGCAGAGTAGCAGGACGATGTCGTTTATGCTTCCATAAGTTCATAAGTTCATATAACCCAGCTCAAAAGCATGCGCAGGAGTTCGTAAAGGAGGCGAAGGGAAAGGCAGACAAAGGCCTTGAAGCCGCTCTGCCGAGTTAGTGGACTTCAAGGGCTTAGGTTGCTTGCTCTAGATTGAAGAAGCGTGTGCAGGGCAAAATCCGGAGAAAGACCAGACATGGTTCGCATGGCTGCGGTTGTCTCAGATGTGGTTTACGGCCTGTGCCTGGCATCTAAAGTTGCGTCTGAGAGACTCGCGTGGCAGCATGGGCAGGAGTGGAGACCTTTTGGAGGGCTGATCTCGCCTGCCTTGACTTCAATTAAGAGCTTCGTCCAAGGTTCTCTACCGCCTCGAGATCCAGCATCGCTTCTTCTTCACGGACCCAAGCATTGGCCCCTTCAGGGCTTTGGAGTGCGGGTCAGAGAAGTCCGAGCTGCCCTACAGGGCCCTAAACCCTGAGCTTCCTAAAGAATTCCTAGAGCTTTTGCCAGCTGCTGCCTCCAAGATGTCGGAATGAGGTCAATTTTGCTAGTCGTTGTCGGTAGTATTGTAGTGATTATTCTTCTTTTTTCATTATTGTCATCATCTTTGTTGTGATTTGTTGTTATCTGCTATCATTACTATCGCTAGGACTATTACTAGTATCATCGCAACGATTATCATGCGAATTTCATTATTCTTATTATTTCTTGTAGCGGTGCAAGATTTGTGTTTGTACTCTGAATTTCTCATCGTCCGTGCCATGTGGCCGCCACTCGATGATAAACTAGCCCAAGGCGTCGAAAGAGCGGCACAGATGATTCCAGGGATTTTTCAGCTCTGCACACGTTCGTTCCCTATGTTCTATCCGTGTTTTCGCAGGTCCGGAAGTCTCCCTGCCCGCAGTGCAACCATCCTTGCACAGGGGCTCCTAGCCCCCGCAGCTTTCTTTGTGCTTCGGCGTCTTGTCAGTGATCAACCGGAGGATCGATCGATGACGGTGTGCCCAGCTTCGAAGTGCACCGTCGCTCCGCCATGTCGTTGAGGAGGGAAGACGTGCTGTTCACCTCTGTTTTATCTGCGAGCTTCGTCCTGTATATGGCATATAGGTGCTGTCTGAACAGTTCTCGTCTTCTTTGACAGGTGCCCCGACGCCTGAGCTCTGCAGCAGGAAGTGAGAGCCAGCGTGCCGACGAGGAGTGGACAAGCTTCTGAATTCTGAATGCTGGCATTCATGAGCATGCGGTATGTATCTGTGTTGTCATACTCGATCCGTTAACGCCATTATATGTACATATGTATATATATATATATACACATACACAAATAAAGCATACGCACATACATACATACATACATGCATGCATGCATGCATGCATGCATGCATAGGTACATGCAATATACATGTACACACATACATCCATCCATCCATCCATCCATCCATCCATCCATCCATGCCTGCATGCATGCATGCCTACGCACGTACATACATACCTACATACACACACATATATATATATCTATATATATATGTATGTATGTATGTATGTATGTATGTATGCATGTATGTATGTATGCATGCATGTATGTATGTATACGCAGACGCATGCACGCATGCATGCATCTTTTTTGCACTGGTGTTTTGTTCACCCCTGTCCTTATGCTGAGCATCTGACACAGCTGACTGAGTTTTCCACTGCTTTGACATGACACCTTGCATAGTAGGATCTGCAAACGCAGCAAGCAGTATCTAGTACAGCATGTCCTGCTGGAGTGATTTGGCGTTTTGCTTTCTTCTGGTGTGTAAACAGGATCCTGACGAAGCTCGGCTTGCTTTTGCTTGTATGTACCTCACGCCAAGGCCATGAGCCATCAACCCAAAACCCGAAAACCCTAAACCCTGAACCCTAAACCCCAAAACCGTAAACCCGAAAACCCTAAGCCTTGAACCCTGAACCCCAAACCCTCGGCTCTCAAGCCTCCCTCTTCTGCCAGGGGGACGTGTCGCAGAACGTGGACGTCGCGCATCTGATTTCAGGGGGAAGCCGCAGGAGACCTCGTTGCTGTACTCTTGAAGGATCCGGGGATTCAGTAAGCAGGTTGTAAGTGCCGTTGTACGTCGGATAACCCCTCGGAGAGTGCTTGAAACCCTGCCAAAAATGTTGCTAAGTCCCTTGATACATTAAGCAAAGGAGAGTGTTCAGCAAATATAACCTGCCCGCGATGTTGTGTCTCGATGTTTTCGAAGGCTTCTTTGCAGTGTCACAGCGTCGAGATGCCAGAGCTCAGGAATCAGCACTTTACCGAAAATACACCAAAGCGAGGAGCCAGGCGGTCTATGGTGATAGCGGTCTTCGGGTGTTAGTATAGGTGCCTTAATGCGCAGAACAAGGTTTTTGGGGCGGATTATAGTGCTACTATGCAGGGACTGTACAAGGAGACTTGATGACTCACTCTTCAATTTCAGAACTGGAAGTTCCACCTGCCACCTACAGCTCTGAGGTCATCCGAACACTGAAAGAAGACAACCCGCACAAGGTCCGTGAAGGGTCCTTTTTAGAGTTCTGTAGTAAATGGATTCTAGAGGGGGTAGAGGATTTAAGGTTACAGGGTTCCGGGGTTTCCGGGGTTTAGGGTGTTGGGTTTAGGGTGCCTCAATGTGCTTGCCCGTTCCCTGCCAGGGAATTCTTGAATCTCTCTCCAAGCCTGGAGCGTGGTAAGCCTACAAGATCGGATATCTGTCATTCAGAATTAGCAGAGGCAGTCAGGCCATGTTGCACAGAACTGAGCAGAAGCCTTTGCCGAGTTCATCCAGTGGAAGTACTGTCATGATAGATTGGTGTTCGTGCAGGGCTCCAGCTGTCCATTTTTCCTGGACGCTACAATCCTGATGCATCCCCCAACTACTACGACGTTCGCTGAGCGGGGAGGGGATAGTTCCAAAACACTTCGTCTCCTCAAAAAAAAGTATACATAACTAAATAAATATAAATATAAATATAAGTATAAAAATAAATATAAATACACAAATAAATAAATAAATATAACTATAAATATAAATATAAAAATAAATATAAATATAAAAATAAATATAAATATAGATATAAATAGAAATAGAAATAGAAATATAAATATAAATATAAATAAATAAATAAAAAATATATATTTTTCTGTATGTATATATATATATGTATATAACGTGTTCTTTGAGATGTTGGGAGGTCCTGGAGGATCTCTTCCGACACTTGCCGCCTCTGACTGCGACGAACTTCCAGGACCTCCCTGTCGGGCTTTCGGCCTTGGGACATCATGCTATTCTACTAATTCTGCTAGTTACATCAGGACGGAAAGGGGTTTTTTGCTTTTTTGAATCAAGCTGCAGCTTCCCTTCGGGTGGCATTGTGTCTTGGATGGGACGGCTTGCAGTTTTACGGCTTTTTTTGGGGTGGGTGGGTCCTGACGTCTGTCAGGCTTGATACATACAGACTTCACCAGGTGCTACTCAGAAAGGCTTTTTAGGGCCTCGTCGGACATGATTCGATACTAGTCATTACCATGTCCAGGCTGCACGCAAACTCCCGCCTCTCAGGTCGCCAGCACAGGTCTGAAGCCTTATAAAGTCCCTGCCATGCTCTTCATTGAAGCTCTGAAGATGCAGGGTTCATTGAACCGACAGAGTCCCTTTGTCATAGATTCCGAAGGGCTCGATGCAGCTGCGATTTCTGGGTTGGGTTCGGCGACGCGCGGCGACGCTGAAGGGGGTGCCATGCAAGCCCTGCACACTCCGAGTTATCTCAGCCCTTTCCGCCTAGCCTCCACGCCACTTCTGGAACAATGCTTGGTGTTTAGCCGTGCCATGTCTCAGGACCTCCAAACTGAGTTCGAGGCAGGAGTCGTGAGGAATCGCTAGTGAAGCGTCCTTGTGACCTGTCCGCGGTGCGAGTTCCAGGTAGTCTCAGTGGTCTTCTGAGTCGGGGACTCTTCGAGATCTCCTCCTGCCAGGCCTTGCTCGCCCAGTTTGCTGCAGCAGAAAACGATTTCTGGGAGAAGAAGCTCAGCCAGGTGCATCAGAGAACTGAAAGGGCTGACTGTGAAGAGGAAGCTGATGATGATGGTGGCGGTGGTAGCGGTGATGCCGATGCCTCCCTCGCGATGTGGCATTGTGGAAAAGTGGGCAGTTTCACTGGGCATGTTCACGACAGCATTCGCTCTCAGGGTCTGGCCGCCGTCGGTGACCTCATTGACACAGAGACAAGTCCCGAAGAGGTGTTGGACACGCCCCCCGGCATCGAAACAGACAAGAGTGCGTTGGATAGTGAGACGTGGCAGCATGGATAGGGCGGGATGAGGAGGAGCAGAATAAGGCGGAGGCAGAGAGAAGAAGGCGGAGGAGGCTAGATGTGGAGTACAACTCAATCCCTATGAACGCGTCCACCGCGATCACCACGACGACCACGACCACCACCACCACCACCACCACCACCACCACTACGACTGCTTCTTTTGCAGGCGGGTCAAGCCTCACGAAGCATGTTTGTCGTCCTTGCAACAAGACGAGCTCGGAAGCTTCAGCCAGTCAAGATAAGATTTTAGGCTGGAAGTGTGCCCTCTTATCGAGAATTCAGAGTATGCGCACGGTGAGCATACTGCATCAGAAACCCAGAGGACTCCACTCAGAGCTGTGACGAAAGTCTTAGCGCGGCCTCTCCGCTTCTGTTAGGATGGCTTCCGTCATCCTGGCGCGGAACCGCCACAGCACCTCGAATCCCTTTAAGGTTTGGATTTGCCCGTTTCAGCGACTTCAGTGGTCAGAAAGTCGCACTCAATTCAGACATTGGCACCCCAAGCACCTCGTAATGTCTTGCAATATTTATATATTATATACGATATATTATATATTCTATGTTATATATGATATATTATATATGACACATTAGTAAGCACTTGCGAGGCCGCTACCTGCAATCTGTGCTTGCCGGCCTCTCCCAGCTCGGGGCGGCCCGTGACCGCCACGGAGAGGAGATCCGCAGGACCGGCTAAATTAGGGTCCCTTGGGGCTGCCAGGAGTTGGGAATTTTCGAAAATTTGGGGTGCCTTATTTTGGGGTCCTTATAGCAAGGATCCTATACTATTTATGGTACTATATTGGGGTCCCCTATGTTCGGAAACCCCCCCATTTCGGCAGTCTATGGTTTTCTTTTGTTCTGGCTTGAGGACTCAGGTTTCTGCTTGAGGGGAGCCATGTTTGAAGCGAGTTTCCATCCTGATGCAGCCTATGCAGGAGCCTTGATAGGAGCTCTTCGAGCAATCGTTCTCCTGCTCTGGAGTGGAGTTCTCCATAGAATCAACAATTTTGAGACTCTGAAGCGCTTTCCTGTACCCAACTCGACTGCCATGGCCCGAAAAAAGGACTGAGATGGAACTGAAGGCGATGATCCAGCACTCAAAGACGATGCACTTGCGCCTTGGACGTGAATTCTGGACCATGCCGCGACTGCTTGTGAGGAAAAGGCGGGCAGTAACTGCCATGCATCCTTATCGTCGTTGCCAGCATTGTTGCCTTCTTCCTTGCCTCCCTTGCTATTATCGCTTTGGCATTTCTCTTTGTCGTCTCCTCCTCAAGCAGCTTCAGCTTCAGCAGCGGCATCAACAACATCATCATCGTCACCATCATCATCATCATTATCATCATCACCGTCATCACCATCACCGTCACCATCACCCCATCACCATCACCCCATCACCGTCACCCCATCATCGTCATCGTATTCGTTACTACCACCACCACCACCACCACCACCACCCCCACCCCCACCGCCACCCCCACCCCCCACCGCCACCGCCACCGCCACCGCCACCGCCACCGCCACCGCCACCGCAACAGCAGTTGTCATCACCATCGCACAAGCTGCCGTGGAATATCTTGATCAACGATTGGCTTTCTTAGCAGATGTCTTCCCCTTATCATCTCCATCTCATCTCCGAGGCCGACGCGGATACTGGAGGCTGCCAAGGCAGAAATGGGAAATTCCGGTCCTGAACTCTTCGGCTCATGCGCGACTTGAAGTCTGAAGGCAGAGTCGACCATCCTACGCGGCAGTGAGATCAACTTCCTCATTCGGAAGCAGGACTCCGGCACGTTTTTTGCCTCCTGGCTCCTTGCATACGCGCCGAGGCCAGGCTTCGCAGGTACAGCTGTCGTCAAGCCCTGCTCTCGTCACAGGGAGGTCCTACCATGACATGTGCAAAAACACCGTGAACAGAGTCAAGCCGACTGCTCTCGTAGTCACAAGTCTAGCCCCTTTGCAGGGCTACAAAGACGGGGCACAGCAATCAGTTTCTAATCATTCTAATCCCCGGCTGGTGAGGACGCCAGGGTGAGGACCAAGACGGGCAACAAGGCCACTTCGGCAAGCTGTGCATGAGCGAGACGTAGAAGACTGCAACGGCTCTTCATGACAGTAAGCTGGACACTGACGGTAGGCTACTAGTAGCCTGCCAACGGCTTCACGATCTCAGGTGCTCCGGCTTCGTCTTGCAGACTTGGTGGAGAAGGGCCAGGCACACCGGAACGAATCAGATAGTAGGCTACAACACCGCAGCCATTGCAGCTAGCAGATTTCAGATGGCCACGTCGCAAGTCCCAGTGTCGTGGCTATTTCGGAGAACACGCTGCCACACCGGGGTACGAAGAAGGCCAAGTCACTTCGCCGATGAAGGTGTGCTTTATTGTCACTCTCCCCTGGGCTTCACTCCCTTGAATCGAGGTGTGACCTCAGCGTCCACGATTCAGCTTGTGGGTAGTTTTCTAAACTAGGGTCCCTTTTGGGGTCCTTTTTTATAAGGGTGCCGTACTATATTGGGACCTAAACGGGGACTCTAATTTAGAAAACTAACCTTGTGCTATTTTTTTGGGGTGTGGGGGGCTTTGGAGCTTCGGAGCTTCGGGAGTTCGGCGCAGGTCCTGTCCTGCTACAGTGAGCTGGACACAGTGCAAGGCCCACCGGTCAGATCGTGGAGACATTTTGCTTGGGGCCCTTTTCAACGATACCAGGGTTTGGGATTTAGGGTTTAGGGTTTACAGATTGCCCAAGCTAGGAGAGATAGCCACATGCCACATTGGGATCATGCTCTTTGTTCAGAAGCCTGGTGCAGTGAGAGCTTCGTTTCTTCGGACCCTTCCAAGACGGTGAGAGTAGCACTGATGCAAAGACCTTGTCCGAGCCCGCTGTGCAGAACACGTGTACCTCACCCTTTGGTCTTCAGACTCGGACGTCATCGTCCACGCCACCCGGATTGCAGAGAAGACCAAACAAGTGCCAACATAATTTGCTGTTGAGTGACTGCAGCCCTAGATACCACAGATACCACAAGCAATACAAGTCTTCATGCTGGGGTAGGGGTAACTCCCAGGACGCACTCTGGCTTGGCCAGCATGGCCTTCCGATCTCATGCAGCACGGAAGAAGCCAGCAACAAGAGAAGCAACATGCATTGAGTGGCCTTGAGTCCTCAAGACTTAAGACATGGGACGTATCACCTACGCAGCGTATACCGGCGTTGGGAAGTGCTTCTCGTCGGTAGACCATCAAGGCACAAGGCCCGCATCCTGGGGCCGGTTCAGGGTCTCTCGTGTAAGTAAGTCGCAAGGTGCGTGACTGGAAACATCTAAGAAGCACTCAACACGGCTCAAGTAGGCGAGCAATGGAGTTGAAACCTACCCTTCATCCCGATGTGTGGCTGCGGCTGGTTCCGAACTACCAAACCCTAATGGCCCTGGTAGATGAATTCATATGCGCACTTCAGGTGGGCCTCTTGGATGATGATGGCTTCCTCCTCGAGTTCGTTAAGGAGTTCCCGATCCTAGAGTCGATGATCAAGCTCCTCGTCTCATGAGCCACATCTCCCGCTGCTCCAAATCCGCGAGATCCAACAAGCCTCATCCCCTTCGGGTACTCGGTCTGTGAAATTCCTCGTGTAATTAACTGTCCTGGGAGGAACCCAGAGAATCCAATACCGCTTAATAAAGGAATATACCTTAAATCATAATATTAAGGCCCCTATAATTTAAGGTATATTCCTTAATTAAGGGGTATTGGGCTCTCTGGGAACCCTAACGGGAGGATCCCCAAAAAAGCCAGGCAGGTCGCCCTCGCGGATCGCAACGCAACCATCGGATTGCCGCCGGAAGGCCTCAGAAGCTGAAATAAGGGGCTCAGAGGTCGAGGGATTCGGGTTTGGGGTTTGGGGTTCAGGAAGGAGGTTGATAACTTCGTCTAGTCACTAGTCAAGTTTTCAACGCGCGGGAGTTTCGAAAGCTGAGCCGCAATCGGAAAAAGGCCCTAAATTCCGCCCTAAGCCCCTAAACCCTAAACCCTAAACCCTGAACCCTAAGCCCTACCTAAGCCCTAACTAAGCCCTTCTCAGCCGGCTCAGCAGGACCTGTGCTGATGAAATGGAAGTCCATGGAGTTGGCCAGCATCCTCAAGTCTGTGCCTCCCGCTGACTGACAGAGAGCTCCAAAAAGGGAACCCAAATCGGCCATGTTCAAGGTTTAGGGTTGAGGGTTTAGGGTATGGGTTTAGGGTTTAGGGTTTAGGGTATGGGTTTAGGGTTTAGAGTTTAGGGTATGGGTTTAGGGCTTAGGGCCGGTGCTTCTTCAGGGGCGTGGGCGGTTCGGGGTAGGGCCGGTAGGAGGGTCCAAGATTCTTGCGGCTTCGGATGTTCGAAACATCCTGTGGGCCACTGCACATAGTCGATAATGTCCCCAGGCGCAGTTTCGGAGGCAGATGCTTCCGACCTGCGGTCCTCTCCCGATCACTCCTTGCCAGAGCAGCTATTCCGAGACAGGGTGTCGTCGATAGCGCCAGTGCGACGCCAGGAAGCGTTCCCGTGACGTGGAAGCCTTGAGCCATCTTTGGAACAGCTGCCTCTTGGACGGGGGTGCGCGTGCTACGCGTGATTTGGTGCAAAGTCGCCGATGCATCCCGCTGCCAGAAGTGTTGTCAAAAATCACCGCGAAGCCTTTGTCTTCAAGGTACTCGTCCAAGACTGTAAGTCCACCTTACCATGATGCCTGTTTCAGACGGCTACATCTGGTTCTCTTCTCGGGCATTCTCGGCATGTATGCTGTTCACACTGACCCGAGGCATCACGCGCGATGCATGTTCAACGTCTTCACCCGGTCGAGAAAGGCTAGGGGCGGGCAGTGTGCCAGGGCTGCTGTGCCAGAGGTTCCCTCAAATTCGGATATATGAAGGTGACATGCTTTCTTTCGAAACTGTCCAGATTTTGTTTGGCTTGCGCAGATTTTGGAACGGGGAGCTCGCCAAGTCGAGGTGATCTGTCCGATGTTTCTCCCTTGGTGCGCATCACGACACCCAAGAAGCAGGAGGTGATCAACAGCAGCCAAAGCCAAAAGCGATCCGTTGCATGGAAGCATGTGCTGTTACTTGAAGATGCGCAGAATACTCGAATCATCGAGTCCACCGAAGACTTGGAGGGCTTCGAGCTGTTGCGGCCGGAGGACAGGACATGACCCAGCATGTCAGTTTGAAGTGCAAGAGGTTTCAGTGTGTTGAGTCTGTGCATCAAAGTCCCTTTCTTGCTTGTGTCCTCCCCGCTTTTGAAGTGGCTTCGACCCTCAGCCGGGCATTCCACTCCTCCGAGCTCCCAGGCGAGCATCTACTGCCACACCCGGAGAGACCTAAACCCGAAGCCTTGGCTTGAGACCGCGAGGCAAGCTCTCCGCGACCCTTGCGTCAACCTCAACTGGCAACCTTAACTTCCGAACCCCACTTTCGAGTCGAAATTCGGGAAGCACCCTCAACGTCCCCGAACCCTTGATCCTAAACCCTGAGCTTCAACTCCTAAGTCTTCAACCCCAAACCTCTCCAAAACCCTCACATAGCCTAAAAGCATCATCTACCCTCGACGCCGCGTCCCTAAACCCTAAACCCCTAAACCCCTAAACCCCAAATCCCTGAACCCTAAACCCTAAACGTGTAGAGGACCAAGAGCTCCTCCGCCGCATCATCTCTGGCGCAGAGGTTCCATGCCCCCGGGGTTAACCGGGATGAGCTTAGGGTTTGGGGTTTAGGGTTTAGGGATGTAACCGGGTTGTGTTTTTTTTTTTGGGTTCTGCACGTGTTCCCCATAGGAGTTGGGAGCATCCAAGTAGTTCCCGTGTGATTTTCCGTGCTTTTCAGTCGTTTCGGATGTGAGCTCCTCCCGATTGGGACATCTGCTGTTGGCTGAAGTGCAGAAGCGCTCAGAGTTTGGAGGTGCAGGCCTGTCCTCGCACGTGTGGGGTTTGGTGGTGAGAGCGCGGCTGAGTGACGTCGAAGACTCGAAGCTTCGAGCCTTGAGGAGTTTACTGAAGCAAGGAGGTCGGCCTTTGCGAATCCCCGGGGTACCCCTAAAGCCTTCTGTCCTGGTGGAAGCCAGGACCTCCGCGGGGCTCGCTTCCTCCCCGCCGGGTCCAACCTCACAGGCAAGCGAGGCACACGAGCAGTCGCCGGACGGTCGAAGTTCAGGTCTCTTCCGTATAGGGTCTCCGTCCGCCAGGGAGGGAAGCTGCCTGTGGTTCTTGCGAAGTTATCGGCTTTTCTGAGGGGCCAAGGTCCGTGCTGGAGTTGTAATTGTAGGCAAGGTCCTTGCAACCTCGGCTCCCTCGCAGCCCGGATGGAGATGTCTTGTGTTGCTCATACCCGCATTCTCAGCATGAGCTATCAGCTCGAAGTGAACCATGGAAGAAGAGTAATCACTATCATCACCCTACGCCCGAAACCCTAAACTGGGTCCTTGTTGGATACAATTTTACATTTTTGTTCTAATGAAACCCCAGTAAGGAATAAAAATGATCATTTTTAATATAGCCCCAACAAGGAACCAGTAAACCTTTGCCAGCAGGTCCAGGTCTTCGGAACAGCAGGTCCAGGTCTTCGGAGTGGAGCTTTACCGATTCTGAGCCTCTCGGGGGTTGCGGTGGGTCCTTTCGAGCCTGGTAAACTTGTAGGATTTGAGACTCCTTTCGTCTAATATAGGGGCTCAAAAATTACCACGACTATTATAGCAAAATATACCCCAAGACCTTTGTCTAGTATTAAGGCCCCTGCGGTAAGTGGCCCTGGCTCCCAACTTGGCCACTGCTACGCTCGAGAAGGCCTTGATGAAAACGACGGCCCTGCTGGCAAAAGGCCACGGACATATAATATTGAGATTACTTATATATATACATATATATATACATATATATATGTGTGTGTGTATATATATATATACAGTCACACATACACACACACACATACACACATACAACATTTACCAGTATGCAATATATGCCATACACACACACACACGCAGATACATAGAACATGGATTTTTTCATGTGCAAGATCGGATGAGATGGGGAAGCTCCTTTGTGAGAGGGACATGGCTTACGCAGTCTTGGAGCAATCTCCGGCCGTGACTTGTGTGGGTGCGCTGCATTGGAACGTGCGGCGTCTGTGACATTTCAGGCCACAGGTGCGGTTTTGTTGCCAAACCCTTGAGAGTCTCGAATTCTCAAGCTTCAGCATGACTCGACCCTAAACTTTGAATGCTCAACCTCAATTAGCACGACGGCTAAAATCCACACATGAAGCTTGGATCCGACATCTGAGGTCACTCCGCAAGGGCTTCACAAGGGTTTCAGAAGGTTTTTAGAGGGTTTCTGTCCGTACGCCGAGGGTGTTGTTGCCTTGAAGCGCTCAAATGAAAGAGAGCTGCACATCGGATCGTCCACATTGCGGCCACTGGTGGCGCATGTACCAGATGACCACTCACGCGGAATTCTTGACTGTAGCGAGATGATCAAATCTGCTCTCTGAACCTAAACCCTAAACCCTAAACCCTGAACCTAAAGCTCAAAGCCAACAGCCGAAGTCTTTTCAATGGGGCCTCAGGCGGCGAGAGCTGGAGGAGCAGGAGGCCTCCGTGAGCCTTCACAAGGCCCCCCAAGAGCCAAGCAGAATTGTGTCCTAACCCTAAACCCTAAACCCGGAACTTCAGGGCCAACTTTGGGTTCCGAAAGTGCTCTTCGACCCAACTCGGTCGGTTCGCCGACGGCCTGCCAGGGAGATCGAGTGTGGACGAAGTGCTGGGTCCGGACAACGCAGCCAGGGCCGGGCCTCCTATCGTTGTAGCGGCCACTTTCCGGAGGTTGTAGAGCGTTCCGGTTCCAAGTCACGACAAGATCAGGTTTTGCTTAGCCTGCTCTAAGAAGCAGCATAGGCCTAGGCTCCAGATGCAGCAGTCGCACGTCAGGAGATGCTACTGCAACTCGAGATTGGATTCTACGATTGGACAACTTAAAAAAATGTAAGGCCATGTTTGGTCATTCCTTGCAGCTTTAGCGTTTTGTGACAGACCACGCGTGGCACGGCACAGAAGCACTTCAGGCCGGACGGCGGCAGGGATGTGCTGGACAAGAGCAAGAAGCCTGAGCTCGGCATGATCGCCGAGGAGGCGGTTTATGGTGTCCCAACCCCGCAGGAGTTTGTAGTGCATAAGAAATCCTGAGAATTGGGTCTGACGGCTTTTAAGGTACGGCTATATAGGGGCCATAGTGCAGCAAAGACATCAGGGGATGATTGCTAATGGTCATGTTTCCGTGTCAGTGCACTTATCACCCTAAATACTGAGTCCCCTCATCCTCGCAGAAGGTGTGGCTTTCTCCGCAAGAGGGTGCTTGTGGCAGATGTTCGGTTAAATAGAAGGCTGGGATGCTGCTGCGGTGCAGGCGCCGCCGAACTGACGATAAACCCCCCATCAAGGTTGCGGCTTGTTGGGTTCAGTACCTCAGCCTTTGAGCGGCACTGAGCGGATTTCCTGAGCAGCTCCTGCCAGTCGGAAGACGGCAAGTACTTTGTCATCCAATTTGAGAGCAAGGAGGCCGGGCTGCGAGCCTGAGATGCGAGTTTGAGTGCCAAAGGGAAGTGTCTAGACGAGCATACCTGCATGTGTGTGCACACAGAGGCCGATCTAGGCAGCCTGATGAAACAAAACACTCGTATCAAGCGCAAAGCCGTGCACGGCCGCTGGAGGATGGCACAAGTTTATTCGCACACGGCTGAAGTCTGTGGCCTGCGGGCTTTGAGTTCAGGCTAGGTGGCATCAGAAGGGATGGCTCGGGGCCAAGAATGGAGGGCTTCGACTACTTTTGCTTGAGCCGCTGCGCCCAAACCTGTTGATTTACACCCTGGAATCCGTCCTACCGCGGGAAGCAAACATAAATGTCTTCCCGGGAACCCTGAACCCAGACACCCCAATCCGACCCTAAACCCTAAACATTCGTTGGCTTCGCCGCAGCACGAGCTTGAGCGGCTCGGGATGCTCGAGAAGAAGAGGACGGCGGCGTTGGTTTTGCGGCAGGGTCCAGCGTCGATTTTGGGGGTGAGGCTGCACTGTAGATTACATCCCAATCTATACTTGTCCACTGTACTCCTAGACCGATAAGGTCACAGTGGAGCATACATGCTAATTCTGGAGCGGCCAGCCGTCGCCAGTGACTGTAGCTTGGTGTTTCGATATACTTACCAAATCAGGGGCCTTTGCAAGTAGGTCATAAGAAGAGTCATAAGAGGTAACCCCAGTTACGGTACATTTAAGCCTATTTATAGCCTACTTTTTTACCACACTTGCTAAGCGTCGAAGTCTTCATCCGATTTAGAGGCTGCGGCCATCGGTCGATGCGAGTTGGACGTAGCTACAGGTAGGAGGAGCAGGGGGACTTCGGTCTTATCTGAAACTTACGGTTTAGGGCGCTTCGGGTTTGCTGTAGGGCTTGAGGGGTCCCCAAACCCGAAGCCCTGCACTGGCTTTTGGGTCTCAGGGCTTGCCTCCCAGGCTTTTGCGGGTTTGTCCGCAGGTATCGCCGCATCCGGGCGTGGCTGAGGCCTAGGGGCTCCCGAATCCCTCAACGCGGGCCTATTTTCCAGTCTTCGAGGAATATCGAGTTTCTGAAGCCTAAGGAATGATATAGGGGTCAGCCAATTTGAGCCGAGCGGTACATCTGCCAATTCTGCGTGGTAGCACGCCGTAGTGTCACAGTGTAGCAACTGCGGAAGTTTCTGTTGGGATTAGCTGTACAAGGATGCGAAGGGCTTGAATGGACATTTGGCATTGCGCTCGCACCACAGGAATAATATTGGCAGTGGCTTTTGGAGCAGTTTTATGGTTCTGTGGTTTGGTTCAGTGTTTTTTTGGTCTTTCAAAGGGGAATCAGCCTGTTTGGGGCTACGACTCGACCATGCGGGAATGTACTTGATATCCAGCTTCACCCTGATGACTTGCACTTTTCGTGCAAAAGAATTGCAAAAGTGGCCTGTGCAGGTATCCGCGGTTTTTCGAGGGGAAAACGCAGAAGGTGCGGCGACGTCTTGCAATTGAATACCTGCCCCAAAGCATCTCTTTCTCAGTGCAGATGCTGGTAGTCGCCAGATCCAGCGGGAGTGGATCCAGCTGAAGCGCCCTCCGCCAAGACTTTGCAGCTGCAAGCGGCAGGCTCTCCCCAATTGGTCGTTCCTTGCAAGGCTGTATGCAGGTGTAAGAGATAGTGAGGAACGCGAGAGCGAGGAAAGGGAGAGAGAGATAGAGAGAGACGGAAAAGTTCTTCCAGCCCCTTGTCAAGGGGCACGTGGCTGAAGAAGAAAAAGGTGAGCGCAAAGGATACCGGTAATCTTTCACAAGCATTCCGGTAAGCTCGGCCTACCCCAGTCCATCGTTGAAGCCTGAAGAAGAGACGAAGGCTCGCTGCCATGCAAGCCTGAGCCCGACTTCTACCCTTCTGGAGACCCCCGCCTCCTTGATTTTCGGAGGAGTGGGGCCACGAGTGCCCCTGCGGCATCACCTGCAAACGCGTCTCCAGAGCGGACGTGTGGGGTGTGGATTACTGAGCTGCTTGAGAACCCTTCAGGCTCCACTGCTTTCAGTGTTGAGGGAGGGGTCGTTTCCGAGGGTTTCACGCGTTTTCGACGCAAGAGGCAGCGCGCCTCACAATTCGGGTCTGCAGTTGACGGTGCTTGGTGCACCTGCTGGGGGGAGGGGCCCCTGAAAGCGAAATCTGTCGAAGGCGGCTTCTCATTAATAACTATACTACACTGGCGCGAAGCCCGATACTAAATAAGTATTAAGCCCCACAAGGAGCCCGTCAGAGGAACCCTAGTCTCGGAGTTTGGGGTGTTTCTCGTGGTAAATCGGCACCCTCTCCTTCAGCAGACCAGTGACCCGACCCGGTTTGAGGAAGAGCGGCTGTCGGGGGGCCGCGACGGTAGTAGGGCCAGTAGGGATTCGGAGGATTCTTAAGAATAATCTTTTTTGTTTAGGGGTCCTTCGGAGGCTTGGGTCCAGTCGAAAATCTTGAAAGGATCTCACCCAAAAGAAAGGGAGCTCCAGTTCTTCGTTCTTATCGTGAGGACTCAGCGGTCTCATCGGCTCTTTGCTTGCTTCGGGGCTTTGAAGCTGGGGTTGGAATCTCGAGGAGGCTCTTCGGCTTAGAGTGCGGCCCCCCCCCCCCCCCCNNCCCCCCCCCCCCCTTCGCCCGCTTTTCCGGTGTGAATTTTTTTTCACAGGGGGGCTAGCCTGAGCGTTTTTTGTGAGCTCCGAAGCTCCAAGAAAGGTCCAAGTGCCGGAAGGAAATGCTCAGGGACTGGGGTTGCGCCTTGGGGTTTGCCAGACCCAAAGCTTCCGTAGAGTATAGCCTCTTCGTAGAGTCTGGCAGACCCAAAGTCGCCCCAAAGGTGGGCACAGGGCCCGGACCATCGCAACGGGGAATTGCGGTGCAGGGTTTACGAGACGCTGGCTGAGATTGCCGAGCTCTTGTTTTTTTTGTTTTTATCAATTTGTGCCTTCGGGGGCAATCTAAGGGCTGATAACATGTCCGTTCGATGGTGGAGGACATGCAGGCGTGCAGATATCGTACGGTGTGCCGCTAACGTAATTTTTCCTTGCTTTGAGCTACTATCCAGCCGAGCCATTGTCTCTAAACCGTCTGTGACGGTTTGTCCGAGCCAGGTGCAGACACGGAAAATAAGCCTCTCCAACTTGCGGTGGTTGCTCATTTCGCGGGTAAGCCTTGAAGTGTGTAGTCTATGAGGTGGCGAGTTTGCGTTGGGACTTAGAGGCTGCTTTTCAGAAGACACAGCAGCTACCCAGTCAAAGTTCGAATCGGGATCGGTAGTAAGGTAGTACATACCAAGTGGATCGCCATTGGTGGTCTTGAGGAGCCCATGGTGTTGCAGAGAGCTGCAGTCTCCTTCTGGATTCTGGACGCACTAAACCCTAAACCCCAAGG